AATGCCACTTAGAGAACAGAATCAAAAAAGGCATGATACGGCAGAAGAATGCCTAGGGGGAAAAACCTAACATTTCAAAAATGAATTTCTTCTTGTACCCCTTGGTTAACGAGGATGCCAGTGCATCCTCTGAAATTCCAAGAAATGCAAATACTGCAACTGTGCACAGATGACGACATGAATAATCGCACGGTTTGAGCACTGCAGGTACACGCGGCTCGACTCCAGGACTACATCCTGCATTCGTCCCCAAACGAGGTTTTCATGCTAGTCCGGTGGGTATCGCTGGAATACAGTAATCCATTTTCTACACCGTGGCGATGAGAAAAGCCTACTGTGCCTGGCTGTGCCTATGTCACGCTTCGTTAGGGGTTCACGATCACATTACCTCGTGGTGGACCTGACACTTTTATTCGGTTTACAGTGTGTTCTGCGTACAGGCAACTTATTTCCTTTGCCAGGGCCGCAGACAACCTTTTCCACACTATATTAATCTTGTTTACTGACTTTATCTTGGTGCAAATATCAGAAAACTGAACTTTTTATCTCAAAGAAAGAATAAACAACGTGTTGACAGAAGCAGAAGCTATTTTCAGGGCTAAAATTGCTTGTTTACCTGAAGCTATACGTATGGAAAAATGTTTAAAGTCTTGCTCTGACTTGAAATACATAATCTGAAATTTAATAAATGAAGAAATTTCACATACACCCATGTGATAAATTGCCTGATGAAAACAATGCAACTGAATACAATAAAACAGAATTTATAACTAATTTATACCACAATACAAATGTAAGCTTTCAATCTAGTCAGAAATAATCATACTATCTATTTCTCAGAAATCATATATATAAAAACAATAAGCTCAATTCAATTGCTGCAAATAACTCAGAAGAGATTTACAGCTGCAAATGTAGATATTTAAATGACTTTACATATTTACCTAGTACATGGACCTTTTTTTAAAAAAAATAGAGGCCAATATCGTTTACTGTTATTACATGTCAATTTTTGTTTTACTCTTAGAGATATGCAAACAGGCATAATTTAGAATTTTTTAGACGAAATTAAGCAACCCTGAGATCCATGCATGATGATCTTCTTAGGGCCAAAGAAAGTCACTGGTCTGATTCGGGAGTAAAACATTCTTACGATGGGAGGGAACCTTGTGCTACTTTTAGGGACCAGACGCCCTTACTGGAAGTGTGGGAGCAAGATGGGGACAGAATTCAGACTGTGGAGAGCAGCACGGTAATGGCATTCCAGTGTATCCGACATATCGAGATGTGTTTAGTGACTGATTATGAGTGGATACTTCCAAGTATTAGGAAATGTCAAGAAACATTATTACACGATTCTCTCTAAAAATTTTCAACATCATATCAAAGTGTTCATTTCTAGTAAATAATCAAGCTTGGTGATTATTTTACTCTCCAAAAAAAAAAAAAAATGTGCCTTCCAGTTATTCCAGAAATGTCTTAGAAAGAAACCACAAATAAAAACCCTATCTCTTTAAATATCCGACAAAACATGCACATAGCAAAGTTTATTTTTTAGAAAACATAGATTTTATTCCACAAAAGATTAGGTAGGGAACAGGTAGTCTGCTCTTCATAAGAAACAGTATCTCCACAATCCAATCACGCTATCTGTTAAAACACTGGAGATAATCATTTATATAATTAGCCAATATTTACTGATAATAATCTCAGACATCACACCATATGTCCTGAATTCTTATGATTCATTTGTTAAATATTACTCTATCAATAGTGACTGCAAGGCTGAATAAAGTAGTTATCTTTCTTTTCATTAACAATGTTTCTTACACAAATTATTAAATTTAAAAAATAAACTCAAGAGTAGCAAGGAATGGAGGGTCTGTAGATAACATACCGTTTAGGTCAACCGCTGGCCTTTTTAGATGGTGAAATAAACTATAATGCTAAAAGTCGACATGGGCCTTAGTTTTGGCTATTGTTATTTACAATCAAGTTATCAACCTCGGAAAATAGGAATGTAGTAGTGATAGATAAAAATTTAACTCAAAGCTGTACAAGTACCACTATCAAAATCCATCAAGTCCATAGGTAACGATATATGGGAAATTTAGCTAAATGATATCAATAACAAAATATCTCTTTTCCCAATTTTATTAGATATATTAAAAGTAATTTCTTATTCTTTCTATCACTGATTTATTAACACCAATTTCAGGATTGTCCTCAAAAGATAAACACAACAATTCGTTTAATGCCTCATTTTTATTCTGTTATTGCCAAACCCACCGCATCCCACCCCATTCTTCCACAATTAGATAGCTGAATAAATTATATCCCATATCAGGTAAAGATATAGAAAGCACAATGGTCTTATAGGATTAGAAAAGAGGTTGTTCAATAAGGATAATACTCAACTCATATTCTCAACGATTAAGATTCTTTCTGTAAATTAACAAAATGGTATGTCTCCACGTAACTGCAAGAAGCCATTATCCTTCCTTCCCTCCCTCTAGGATAGCCATTCCCCTTCAACTTTGCTCTCATATACAGTTAAATTTTATTTGCTTTCCAAATGCTATTCTGCTTCAGTGCCCCCATGGACAAACACTGATGGTGGCGGGCTGCCATTCAAAAGAAAGCCTTTCAATTTCGTGAGGACCGGTCAATCAAACCTGCGTGGCCTCCGGGCTAGGAGGAGACATGGCCTGAGCCTCTCCGCCAGTCTGTCAAGACTCAGAAGTTTCCTGTTTCTGTAAGGACCATTATTAATTTGACTCAAGTTCTTTGAAGAAAGAAACAAGCCTTTAAAGTAGTAGGCTCTGCGATGAAGGCCCCCTGGTACATCCGACAAATGTGTCAGTCAAACGCTTGTGACAGATATTAAGGAAAACAACTCAACAAAAACAGGCTTAAAAATAGGACTTTAAACCCTGCGGGCAGGAAGTAAAGGGAGGAAAGCAAAGAGGTGGAAGGAAACTTATTGCACTTGCTACTCTATGCATTTATCTTCATTAAAAAACAAGCCTAAGAAAATAATATCCTACATATTTTGCAGTAATTGATTTTAATGAATACCTGTTAAAATGAATGGGCAAAATATTTATCTTTTAACCCCATACAGAATAAAAAAATATTCACAAAAGTAGTTCAAATGAAGATACCTGAGTTTTATAAATTGGTGAAAAAATTCAGTTACAAGATAGTTGGGAGAATGAATAAAATATTGCATGTGTCATCCATTCTCATAGATAATATTACAGAATGGTCACAATTCACAAAAGGCACGATCTATTTGGGGATGGCACATTGGAAAATAACATCAGAATTACTTTTAAACCAACATACAAAAAAAAAGTAAAAATTACTTTAGAATTATTTTTAAAGCAAATACAAAAAAGTGACAATTCAAGTAGCATAAGTGGATATCATTTCTAAGATTAAAGGAAAACAAAGTAGATATCTGATTTAAGAGTAATAAGGCGACAAAAATCACCTCCGAGAAGAGAGTTGTATGTAATTTATCTCTCCCTGCTCCAATCCATCTTAACCAGCTTGCCAAATTAAACTTTCTAAATCGCTGCTTTTCACATGTCAGTTTTCTCGTTCCAGAGCCATCCATAGCTCTACAATGAAAATAAAATTAAAACTAATGAGAAATGCATCCGAAGCCCTCGCTAATCTGATCCTTATTTTCCAATGTGATCCTTCTCTCCAGGTCCTTATGCAGTAATTGCTCCTTGTTCTAAACCCGAAACGACTCTACTTGATACAATTCAACGAATATTTACTAGTTACCTACTGTGCATATAAAATTACGTTTCAACTTACTATGTAAGTGGTATATGGTTTCCATTGAATTGAATAATTTTAGTGACACTGTCACACTTAATTTACCTTTTGGTGTCATAATAAAGTTTTAACCGAAGGAGTCTCTCTAATTCCAAGGTTTCGGGTTTTTTTTTTTTTTTTTTTTAAACAAAAGTATCAGTAAATAATTCTTGTAGGAATTCATATTTTACCTTCATTTGTCTAGATTGCTGTTAAAGTAAAATGTGGATTTATACAGTGCTCTAGGAAAAACC